ATGAGCCCCCGGGGCCGTCATCCGGCCGCGCGGTTTGCTGGCTTCCGCCGCGCACGGGGCGTGCGCGGCTTGCTCCTGGTGACATAATTTAAAACCTGCATGAACCATGGGCTCATTTCCCCTCTCACAGTTCAGAGGAGTTTGTTTCTCTAGAGAATAGTAATGCAGCTCAAAAAAAAAAAAAATCTTTGCAGTATTTAATACAACATTGTAAATCATTTGCAACCTATACATACTCAGGAATTTAGACTTACCCTAAGTTTACTCGTGTAATGGCTCGGTGGTCTACCACGACAACGCTGGTTTTTACTTTGATGAGGTTGATTGACTTGGAGAGCACAGACTGAGCGCTATCTCCTTAGGGTTTTTTCAGATCTTAAAAATACTATCTTTTGTTTAAGGCTGTGCACCTGTTCGTAGATAGAGCATATTCATTTAATAAGATTTTATAGTAATGTATTAGAGTGGCCATCTACACGTGAGTCCCTATATTCACGGTTCTTTCTTCATTCTGTCCATTAGGTTCTCCTAGCCAGCAGTTTCGTGCCCATTTATGCAGGGCTGACGCCTGTCGAATACAAGGGGCAGGTAGGTGATGTGATGCTAACAGAGGAATTGCTCCAGTTCCCATGCTAATTAGTCTTCCTTGAAAGATCCAATGTTTAAATGACTGAAGTGCCTCCAAATTGTGTGGGTGTGTGCGTTTTTGCTCCTAGATACCTTTGTTTCTATTTCAAAGAGAAAAAAATCCAGCACAGAGGCTGTGCTACATTACCGTCAAGATCTCGTGACTGGGAATGATTGACTGGGGTGGTCTTACTGTTACCCTGTAAAAAATAGTGATCCCTTCTTTAAAAGATAGTGAAAGACCTATCCCCCTCTAATAGCCTGGGTGTAAGCCACTGGAAGCAGAATTGCCACATCTGTGTGGTGTGGGGAAAGGCTTCAGGACACTGCAGACCTGTCCTCCCCAAACAGCTGCAGAGTTTCATGCTGTCCCGGCCACTGGGCCCCTCCCTACTGGGCAAGCTCTCCTCTCCAAGGTCGTCCCCTTGCTTACAGAGACACATTTATGACAGAAGGGCTAAACACAGCCTGCTGCAGGAGAGCCCTTTCAGCTGGGGCCGTCACTAAGTGGAGGTGCCAGTTACTTGAGAGTATCCAACTGAAGACTGCCCTCCATGGTGCCAGAGACCCCTAGCCAGCTGCCCCTGCGCCTTCACCTGTATGTTCTCAGCATCCTGACCTTGGCGGGTGCATCACAGACTTATTATAACCAGACGTGGGCTCTGGGGAGAACATACTGCAGCTGCGTATGTCATGATGGGGTGCGGTATCTGTGGAACCCGTACCAGAGCCGTGTATGTCATGATGGGGTGCGGTATCTGTGGAGCCCGTACCAGAGCCGTGTATGTCATGATCGGGTGCGGTATCTGTGGAACCCCTGCCGGAGCCGTGTATGTCATGATGGGGTGCGGTATCTGTGGAGCCCGTACCAGAGCCGTGTATGTCATGATGGGGTGCGGTATCTGTGGAACCCCTACCAGAGCCGTGTATGTCATGATGGGGTGCGGTATCTGTGGAACCCGTACCAGAGCCGTGTATGTCATGATGGGGTGCGGTATCTGTGGAGCCCGTACCAGAGCCGTGTATGTCATGATCGGGTGCGGTATCTGTGGAACCCATACCAGAGCCGTGTATTTCATGATCAGGTGTGATCTCTATGGAACACATACCAGAGCTGCATATTTCATGATCCGGTGTGGTATCTATGGAACACATACTAGAGCTTCGTATTTCATGATCGGGGGGATTTGGGGCATGCATGCACACACACCTTGGCATGAGTTTTAAGCTGCCGGGCCTGGGACTTGAACTGTGATCAGCTGCATGGGAGTGCAGCAATGTCACCATTACGCCATCTGCTGGTCCCGAGTCTGTGATTCTTAATGAGATTTTCTATTATGTAATTGAATACTTTCATGGAAACACAGAATGCCAGCCACAGTTAATTAGCAGAGCATGCACAAGCGTAGAGTATGTGCACATACGAAGAGAGATAGAAAGAGCAGAGCACCCTCCACAGGGCTGGTCATGCTTCATTCCCTTTCTCCATTCTCCAACCTGCCAGAGTCCTACACAGAAGTGTATGGGCCTGGTGTGTTTGCAGGCTGATGTGGCCAGTGACTCAAACCCTAGTCAGTCTGTGGCTTCCAGCTCTGCAGTTCAGTACACTGCGACTGGGGCGAAGATACTGGGCTATGTTTTCATAAGGTTTTGAATGGACTTACGCTGCGGCATGTAACAATACGAGTGCTTTCTAAACTCTACCAGTAAGATTACTTAAAAGTTTTTGTAGTGTTTAATTTTTTTTAAGAATTATTTATTTAATTTTATTTATTCATTCATTTGTTTTAATTTGTCAAGAGAGAGACACAGAGAGTAAGAAAGCAAGCCACCAGGCCCAGGACTCAAACCGTGGTTGGCCATGTGGGAATGCCAACCAGTCCTGTGCCTTAACCACCACACCACCTGCTGGCCCCAAGTTTTTGAAGCTTTTTCTGGTTTCCTTTTAGGAGTATTTTAACACCTTCCTTATTGTGGATACTCGTTAATAGCTGACTAAATGAATGGATGTCAATTCAAGTCTTATGTTTTTAACTAATGACTTTTCCTTCAGTACACATCTAACACATATCCCACCATGTGTTGGGTGCTCAAAGAGTGTTTGCTGAACAGGTAAATAGGCCTTTACAGTAGAGATGAACTCCTTAGGTTTTTCTTTAAGTTTCCCATTATATAACAGTTAAATTTGTAAAACATGTTCCTTTTATTTTCTAAGAGAGATTTTCGCTATAGGGTACATGCATTCGCCAGAGACACAGAGAAACAGATAAAGTTAGAAATCACCCCCTAGGGGGGATGGCCATGCCACAATCCCTTTTCTTCCATTCTCCTCTCAGGATTTTAGTCAGGCATGCACATGCATCCGGCATGAGTTCCATGCTCCCAGGTCCAGGACTTGAACCACGGTCAGTCATGTGGGAGTTCAGCCCCATAGCCATTATGCTACTTGCTGAACCTGTAAACCATGTTCTTTTAGTTTTTTTTAGAAATTTTTGCTATAGGTCATGTGTGCTCACTGGACAGATAGAGATACAGAAAGCAAGAAATCACCTTCCAGGGGAGATGGTCATGCCACTCCCTTATCATCCATTTATCCCTTCGCCTCCATTTTCCTCTTGGGATTTTGGGCACACACTCACATATACCCGGCATGAGTTTCAAACCACTAGGTTCAGGAATTGAACTGCAGTTGACTACATAACCATAAAGTTATCTGCTGGTCCCAAGCGTGTTTTTAATAAGTACCCATAATAGATTATAAAGTAAAATTTCATAGGTACTGAGAAAGGAGTAGTCTAGGCTGTTTAGATGTTACGGGTACCATTGTCTCTTGGGAAGAGATTGCCCGAATTCTGGTTTTTAGTGCTATACTCTCTTTAGAAGATAATCTCAGTAGAAAATTGTCCCATGATTGGCCTCAGGGGTCTCTTTCCTATTGAACTGTTGTTCATTTATATCTCTTTGGACTCAGGCAGTTGACCTTAATGTGGAGCATACTTAAAATAAGTCAGAGATTGGAAAAAAGGATAAGGTCGAACAGTGGTATTTCGTGTCAGATACTTTGATTTGAAACCTGTTTTGCCCTGGAATTTTTCTGTTCTTGGCTCTTTCCTTTAAAGAGGATGATGCTGTGTGATGAAAACTAGCATGCAGCAAAACGCAAATGGGGAAGCCCAGCAGTTGTAATATTTTTCTTAGGGATGATTTTGGAATCGTAGATGCTCATGGCAGTGGCTCCCAGCATAGAGAATGCTGCCCACAAGGTGAGAATGCCTTACAGGGCTGCAAGGCAAACAGAGAACTCATGCACAGAGGTGTGCAAAATCCACGACTTGAAACTCTCAGTAGAGCCGACGATGTAAAAATGTTTCCACTGTTAACTCGGAGATGGAGGAGTATTTACTGCTGTGATCCTTGTTTTCAGAAATGTTGCTAAAATCAGCATGCCTCAACGCATACATGTTCATTTGTAGTAATATAGCTCACAAGGGCAAAAATTAAGAGTGACACGTAGCCCGCTTAGCATATATGAGCGGTGGCTTACAGCCTCACGGGTGATAGAGAAGCTCACGTCACTGCATGTTTAATCAAGCCACTTGCTAAGGTGTAAATTCTTCTAGTCCTTTATCCAATCACAATCACCTCATAAGAGTGAACAGAATTTGGAAAGAGGATTTTAATTCCAGGAAACAGTAGTCATCAACTCCGTAGTAAATGAGAACTCTTTTCAATGCAATGCATCAGATTGCCCTTCCTTTCATTCAGTTGAATAAGTCGCATGAACGCTTACCTAAAGTTATTGGACCTAGCTTTAATTTTCCTTGATGATAGCCATGTGAATTTTTAGATCATGAATGACAGATCTTGTTGACAATATTGAATGACATGAGAGAGTTGTGGATGGTGTTTTTTTTTTTTTTCTTCTCTTCTAGTATTATCCTATTCCGGAATTTGGTGTTCCCACCTAAAATGATACTGAAAAAATAAAAAATGATCAAGGAAGTCTTGAGATACAGTCAGATATTTGGGGGTCTTCTTTTTGGAAATCACTCTTTTTTAGACTATGTGTATAATCTGCTGTATTTTAAATGTGCATGTATTTCTACATATATAAATACATCCACATGTGAAAAAGTGTCTACACAATATGTGTAATATAGTTATATAGTCATTTGGGTAATATCCTTTTAAAAATAATGGTTGTCTGCAAATTATCTGGGGTTTTTTAGTTTATTTTATTTATTTTATGAATGAGAGACAGACAGACAGACAGTACCCCTAGTGGGCACTGGTACTTCAGTCCACTCCCAACCCATCAGCCATCCAACCCTTGATCATGAGGACGTATGTGCCCAGCGTACTCAGAGAGATCTCTAGACAAGAACTAGAACCTTCCATTGGGTCAACCTCACAGAACATTGCATTTTACCTCCACACCACTATTTGACCCCCTCATTTTAATCCAATGTGTGTATGTTTTCTGTTCCACCTGAATCCGGTTCATGCAGGAGAGATTTTCCACTCCTTTTTCATTTCTTTACTTGGATTCACTGTGGAGGAGTTTGTGTCTGGCCAAAGCCTTTGTAAATAATGGAATGCCTCTTGTCTCATCACCAGCTTTAAAAATGATAAAAAAGTAAAAACTTAAAATAGAGAGACGCCTTAGAAGAAATGATTCACTGTATTAACTGAGTTGAGGACACTGGGCACCAACCTGTCTCTCCTGCTTCACTCTACCTTTGGGCTGAATGGCAAAACTTTTATCTACAGTCCATTTACACATTCAGGCGAAACTCCCTGTCTGCTAAAGATTCTTACGTGCGGGATTTTCAACATCACCTGACTCCCCCCGCCCCAATCATTTTTTTTTTAACATATTGTAATGGGACATATAACTTGGAGAATTTGGACTTTATTTCTGTATGTGTCCATTTATTGCAATAGTTGTTTATGTAAATAGGTAGGCTAGTGGAGACATGAGACTCTTGGCCTGGGATAATTAGCATAGGGATAGTGTCTTTGTGTTTTTTTCTTTCTTTCTTTTAAGTTTATTTTAGTCATGATGGAGAGCATGTGTACAGGAATAAGAGAAGGAAAGAGCTACAGCCTCGGCAGGAACGCAGTCCTTTCTCCCTAGCCCTCCAACTTTTTGAGACCTTGGACACCTGTGTACATGCGCTCAGCGTTTTCGAGCCAGCCTGGGGATCCAAACTGTGGAAGGACATAGGGCACCCAGCCCTGCAGTTCAGTTTGCTCCCAGTTGTGTCACAGGCTGGGCCTGTCTTTGTGTTTCTTTTGTGACCATTTATCAGCACACACTTCTGTGAGGGAGTTGAGGTCGCACACACTGTGAGTCCCCCATTGTCTCCCTTCTCTCCCTGTGCCCCTGTCTCACTTTCTCCCTCTAAAGGCTTCTCTGCTCCACCCATTGCTCCCCTTTGGGGGTGGTTATAGAACACTAAACCCTTCAGAGTCCTCTATGTTCTCTGCCCAGCTCTTTCCACCCTTGATGGCTCTAGGACATATCTCCTGCTTCAGGTACAAAGGAGCCAGCTAAGAAATAGAAGTGTTTCTAGCTCTATTTATTTTGAAGTTTGCTACAAAAAGATGCCAATTGCAATTCATACACCAAAAGTGGGACCTCCTCAGGTGGTAGGTGTTTCACTCAGTGTCAGCTAAGAGCAGTCAACAGGAAAGCCGAGTGTCCATGTTGATTAAATACTGAAATAATGAATTGTGACCTGATCACTCATGGCTTCTTGGACATGCACTATAAGCAGTGAGAATTTAGTTGTTTTGTTTTGTTTTGTTTTGTTTTGTTTTGGAGAGAGATTTTTGCTATAGGGCATGAGTGCTCCCTGGAGAGACAGAGAGAAATCATCCCCTGGCAGGATGGCCATGGTGTGGGTTTGAAGCTGCTGGGTTTGGGACTAAAACCACAGTCGATGATACATGGGAGTCCAGTGACGTAACCATTACGCCATCTGCTGGTCCCCAAAATCATGTGCATGACGTGAGGCAGAGAGAGAGAGAGAGAGAGAGAGAGAAGAGAGATGGACTCGATACTGCAATCCTCCAGCCTCTGGTAGCTTTTGTTCTAGAGCGGGAACCACCACACCTGGTACATCTTAAGGTAAATAGTGTAGTCAGGTTTTTATTTATTTATTTTTTTTTGAGAGGTTTTTTTGTTATAGGGCACGTGCACTCACTAGAAAGAGAGAGAGAGACAGAAAGGGAGAAATCACTCCCCAGGGGAAATGGCCATGCCACAATCCCTTCTCCTCCATTCTCCTCTCAGGATCGTGGGCACACATGCACAGGCACCCGGCGGGAGTTTAAGCACCAGGTCTGGGACTCAAACCACAGTCAACCACATGGGACTTCAGCCACATAGCCATTATGCCAACTGCTGGTCCCACAGTCAAGTTTTTAAACATTTAAAGACCTTTCCTGATTCTGTTCAGACTTCTTACATTGGTAAGTGATCTGTGTACAAAGCTTTGTTTTGCTTCTAAAACAAATCAGTCAGATTATTCCTCAGAAATAATAATTTAAGAGCATTTCTAAGGCATGGGTCTTCTCCCTCCTCCTGCTCCTGCATCTTTCTCTCCCTTTTCCTCCCATGTCCTCCCTCCTCATCTCCCCATGACTTAAGAAGACAGAGAGAGAGCTAGACAACACCCCTAATAGGGTCTTGACATCATAATCCATTCCTAGCCCCAACCAAGCCTGACTCATGGGCACCTGTGTGCCCAACACACTCAGGGAGGTCTCCAGGCATGAACCAACCCCTTTCCACGTGGGTCTTCCGCATGGAGCATCGTGCCTGACCTCTGCATCGTTGCCAAGCATGGACCCAAGACATGGCTCTTATTGGAAGAGAAGAAAAGAAAGTCCTCTTAAGAAAGCCGCCCTCCTTTTCTTCGTGTGGGAAGTGCATTCTGGATGGGCTGAAGCCGGGCGTTTCTCTCCACAGAAGTGGGTGGACGGAGGCCTCACCAATAGCCTGCCTATCCTGCCGATAGGCCGGACGGTGACCATCTCCCCATTCAGCGGACGACTGGACATCTCCCCACAGGACAAAGGGCAGCTGGACCTGTATGTGAATATCGCCAACCAGGATATAATGGTAAGTGATTGTGTTCAGTGGTATTTGAAGAGTCCTAATCTAGAAAAAGATTCCTGCAGAGTCCAACATACTCCCCAAACATTGAAAGCTCATCGAACATTTCATGTACAAATTGCATCTTCTTGGTGCTGTTTTATTCTTACTTAACAACAATGGATGCACGGGGACCTGGAGTCCTCCGGACTGTCAGTGTATGGTTATTTCAGTGCTGATCAACTGTCAGTTTGTGTCATGTTTTCTTTTTTTCCCTTCTTTTTTTTTTTTCCTCCCCCATATCAATAAATTTGGTAGACTATCAGAGCAATTTTTAAATTAGACCCTTTCGTTGTTTAGGGAAATGGAGAGAATGCCATATATAAAAATATGGGAGAAAGACTGAGGCACCTAAATGAATAATTGATATAAAATTACTGAGTCCTTTAATTTACTGTAATAGTTCTCAATGTGGGGCGAGATTGTACCTTGGAAACTTTTTTTTTTTTTGGAGAGGTTTTGCTACAGGGCATGTGTGCTCTCCAGAAAGACAGAGAGAGACAGAGAGACAGAAAGTGAGTGATCACCCCCCAGGGTGGATGGCCACGCCGCAATCCCTTCTCCTCCATTCTCCTCTTGGGATCTTGGGCACGCACGCACACGCACCCGGCGTGAGTTTAAGCCACCGGGTCCGGGACTTGAACCACGGTTGACTACGTGGGAGTCCAGCACCATTACGCCAACTGCTGGTCCCACATGGGAAACAGTTGGTGGTGTCTGTGGACATTTTGTTTGACACAGCAGGGAGGTGCTCCTGGCATCAGACGGGCAGCACCCGGGTATACTAAGTGTGTTGGTATGCACAGGGCTGTCTCCATGGCGGAGAAGTCGGCTAGACAAAATCAGGTTCCTGACATTTTGGGCCAGTTATTTCTTTGTCACGGAAGCTCGTCTGTACATTTCCCCCTGATTTTCTGTTGTTGCTAATCATATCTGAAAAAGCCTAGCGTATAAAAATAAGCAGAGTACAGGGTTTTCAAAAAGCACATAGAACATGTGCATTATGAAAAAACTATGCCGGGACCAGCAGTTAGCATAAGGGCTATGTCGCTGGACTCCCATGTAGTTGACCATGGTTCGCGTCCCGGACCCAGTGGCTTAAAACTCACGCCGGCTGCGTGTGCGTACCTGCCCAAGATCCCAAGAGGAGAACGGAGGAGAAGGGGATTGTGGTGTTGCTATCCCCCCTGGGGGTGATTTTTTGCTTTCTGTCTCTGTCTGGCGACCCAATAGGAAAAACCACAAAAAAAAAAAAAAAAAAAAAAAAAAAAAAGAAAAAGAAAAAAACTATGCATGGATTCCAAAATATTTTTGTATCAAAGTAAACTTATACTTGAATTCCATTTTTCCCCCAGCCTTCTCCGAGTTCCTCCAAGGTATCTGTACTGTAATGTCCTATAGTTTAAATTTCTGTCTTTCTGTTCTAGTTGTCCGTGGCAAACCTGGTGAGGCTCAACCATGCCCTGTTCCCGCCCAGCAAGAGGAAAATGGAATCCCTGTATCAGTGTGGTTTTAATGACGCCATTAAGTTTTTACTTAAAGAAAATTGGTTTGAATAAAATGCTTGGGTTTATAATGCAAAACTGGTTTCACACTGTCTCTCGTGGAGCTTCTAATTAAATCCTGTTTAAAAAAAAAATCTGTCAGAACTCTTGTGTCGATTTTATTGTTACTGTTCATAATATTTGCATTTATTATTAATATTTGCATTATGATTTAGTACAGAGTTTGGCAGCGTTGCTCAGAAGGGTCGGGCTGGCCTGGTGGCACAGCAGTCCCATGCTGTGCACATGGTGCTGGGTCCACACGGAAGGGTGCCTGGTTCAGAGCATGTGCTCTGGGCACATGCACCTGTGATCCTGGCTGGCAGGAAGGCTGGGGGTCTTGTGTAGTGAGACCCTGTTGAGGGTGCTTGTCTGTCTCTCTCTCAAAACAGAAATAAGCTTTTTAAAGTTAAGAAGAAGAAGAAAGATACACTCAGGTGGAAAGGAATTCTTTTCTTTTTCTCTTTTTTTTGGAGAGGTTTTTGCTATAGAACGCGTGCGCTCGCCAGACAGACAGAGAGAGGCAGAGAGACAGAAAACGAGAAATGACCCCCCAGGGGGGGATGGCCATGCCGTAATCCCTTCCCTTCCATTCTCCTCTCGAGATCTTGGGCACACACGCACAGGCATCTGGCATGAGCTTAAGCCACCAGGTCCCGGACTCCAACTGCAGTCGACCACGTGGGAGTGCAGTGACATAGCCATTACACCATCTGCTGGTCCTGAAAGGAATCATTTTTCAGAGAACGGTCATGTCCTTTGAAAATGTCAGGAGAGTAGGCTCTTTGGGTCAACCATGGGAATGGAAGTCTACCAGGAAGGTGATATGGAGAATGTGGCAGCATGACTCTCACATGAAGCATGGGTGTTTCTCTGACTTTGCCACGTCCCAGAGCTTAAAGCCTGCAGGAACCAGGCTCTCAGGCCAAACCGAGCACAGGGTGGGAGGGGAAGGATTTGTGAAAGAGACAGCTTTGTTTCAGACCTTTGATACGCTCTGGAAGAGTGGTTCATTTTCCGTTGGTGCCTGTGGTTGCTCCTCATGTGGTGCTGGGCGGATACTGTCAGGAGGTCTTGATACCAGCTTTTTTTCTCACTTGTCTGTAGAACCTTACCTTCTTTCCCTCCATCCTCCAAACCCCACTTCCCCGCTAAGGTGATGAAGCTGTTTGGGTGCTTGCCTGTTCCAAACCCAGGCTGTCATTCATAGTCTCACTCTCTGTCCCTAGAATCCATTCTTCTCACAGTGTCCAACTACTGCTCTCTATTCTAGATGCAGCTACCTGGGGACTTGGACTACTAAACACCCAGAACCGTGGGAGCCACGTAGCCTAGAGAATAATTAAGTTCAGAAGAATCATTCTTTTATTGTTTTCCAAACATCTTGTACTGGTCAAGGTCTTCTATTTTTTGGGTAGTTGACCCATCACATGGAGGACTCTCTGAGTAACTGTTTACCGGCTCACTTACACTCTTCAATCTTACATCCATTTTTATGATGTTTTGCCAAGCATGAACTCTTAATTACTAAGAGGCAGTTAGAGACAAACCAATTTAATTGCATGTCTTTAATTGTCATGCATTTCTTCTCTTACCCCTTCAAAGGCATTCTTTAAATCAATTTTATGGTTCTTGAAAACCCCAGATACACCATTTTTAGCACATAAACACCAACTCTTGCTTCTTCTTGTAGGAGTTCTCAGAGACCCATTCTAAAGTAATGACAGTCCTCGGGGGTGTATATTTTTTCCTACTTTAGCCAATATGTGTTTAAATCTCACTACACTCTTTTCATACGTGACATGAACTAGGTTCAATTTTCAGTGACGCCTAAGACGTTTTGTTTCACCTCTTCCTTTGATCATTTTGTGTGAATATTCTATTTGCGTAATTTCGCGGTAAATTATTTAGCGATACATTCCCCAACGGAACCAAATTCTTTCTACTACTGGGTTGTGGGAAAAGTCGTGATGCATTTTGCATAGAAGAACAGAAGAAAACCGTCACGACTTTTCTGACAGCCCTTTATGGTATTAAGTTGTTGAGAAAGTCGTGACATCTTTTTCTGTACAAAAATGCATCTCGACTTTTTGGACAACCCGACAGAGCTCCATGGGTCCTTGACTGTATTGGTTCATGGTGCTTTCCTGGAAAAACACTGCAGGCTGATTGACACGGAGTCTGTGACAGCTTTCTAACAAGAGGGAGTGTGGTAGACGGTAGCCCAACGTCATGTGGGCACACCAGGCCTTCCCAGGGGTGCTGCACCCAGCTCCCTGAGAGGCTGGTCAGAGGTCATAGGCTGTTTATCTCTGCTCGTCTTCCTGCATCTGTCCTCATAGAGAAGAGGCGTGAGTAACGGGTACTGCCTTACAGACAGGATGCAGATTTCGAAGCATGGTGGAACTGGTTTATAGAAAACCAGATGAGACTGTCTGACCCAGATACTGATATGTTTGCAGGGTAATTACTGTGATTGGCGGCTTGATAAGTTCCTAGTTCCCTGTTGGGGCAATTTCCTAATATCTTTGAATCTGTCATTTAAAATTTCATTAGTCTTCCCTTTCTTTCCAATAACCTTCTTTACTTTGTAACTATGGTAACCCGCTGCCTCCATTGACAATTAGAGGAAGTAGATTTGGTTTTGAAGTTAAATCATGCTTTAAAGGAACAAGCAGTGTGTTTAAAAAGAAAGGAAAATAAAAAAAGGAAGAAAAAGAAAAACTATGGCTTGCTGGTTTCACAATATGAGGTGCAGCGTGAGTGCCCCCAGGGCTTGCCAGGAGACCGTCTGTCATACACCTCTGGGTGTTGAATTATGATTCTGGACAAGCAGGAACATTAGAATGCATAGATGTTCACTATTCAGCCTTTTTCTTCTGATGATACAACATAAAAATACTAGGATATAAAAACTCTCTATAAATATTAGTCATAGAAAGTTTTTGGATCCCATGTCTTCTTGTTGAGGAGCCAGTACTCATGGAAGTTCTGGATTGCATGATTTCTCTTGCCTATGCTAGGTCTATGTGTTAGCAAAATAAAATCAAAAGTTGTGCTCGTTATGTGCAGAACTCAAAAGAGGAACAGCAATGATTGCAGTCCAGGAAAAATGGACGGATATTTAAATAGTTACTATTACCATCATTACTTGCCAATTAACTGTTGACTTGGGCTGAATGCACTGTGTTATTGCTCGGCTCTGCCCTTAGTTTGGCCTCTGATGAGACCCCTCGGAGCTTTGCTTACTTAACGTAACACATATATTTATGTAGTCCTCCTGTGGGTGTCCCAAGCTCCCCAGTACAAACTCGACTGACCTAAAGAAGAAGAAAAATGGGATTTCACTTTTCCCACAGCATGGGAAGCATTTCTAAATACATAGTTATGCACCACTCACAGTAATGGCATATCTAACTTGAACAAAAGGATAGTTTGTTAAATACATGACTATAAGGAACCATACCAAATAAGTTAAAAAAGAAAAAAAGGTTGCATGTGTGTACGTACACACATACGTGTAATGCAACAGGTGATGGCACGTGTATCATAGCTGCAGGGATAAAGAAGCATTTCCCTAATGCTCTGTGTCGTCAAGTTTACAAATGCTCTGTCTAGTCCAGGTCACTTTTGTGCACAAACCAAGCAAATTGCATGTGGGTATTTGAGGATACTTCAAAAAGCCATGGAAAAGAGTGCAATTTAACACCTGTTTATTTTGGTGCAAAAACATTTTGAAAACCATGCATAGCTTTTTTCATAATACGCTTTCCGTGAACTTGTGGAAGACCCCTCGTACCACTCTTCTGGATAGTTCTACAGTTCTAGCCAATCCCAAGAATAGTAACCCTCTCCTGATGGATTCATTGGCTTGGAGTTTCCAGCTCAGGTCAAGGTCATGGCCCTGAGGGGGGGTACTTGGTTCCCAAACTCTCTCTCAGAAGACTGGCCTTCAGCCATATGGTCTACAGGAGCATTTGCATGGGTTCCTCCTCTACCAGTGTTCACCTGAGCAACTGACAAAGCAGGTGTGTGAAATAATCTAGGCAACATACACAAGGTCCAGGAAGCTTAGGGTGGGTGCAGAATGGGAGTCTCTCCTTTAGTCCCGAAGCGATGGGGACCACTGGCACGTGTTGTGTTCCTAGCTCTGCTGGGAGCTCCACGATCATTCCTCACTCATCACTCGCCTAAACTGGGAAGGTGAACTGCTCAGGGTGACACCTGTTCAAATCTTCAGGTTATTTGAGGACAGAGTAAAATTTGCCACACAATGAGTTCAGTGACACTGGGGACATTTTGCTATTGGAGCACTTCACAGTGTCCCCAAGACTCGATTCCTGTAAGGTCATTGGAACCTGGAAACAAAGCTATAGGATCGACTTCAGTCAGAACTACCTATTGGCAAGTTCACATCCAAGGGGTTACTAGCACCAGGCCCTCCACTTCACCATTTCTAATTGCTCCTTCCACTGGGAGAACAGAATTATGGGAGCGGGTGATATTTATCAAGAGGAGATGTATTTACTGGCTAAGTAGCGGGGCTAGGGACATGCTTGCAATTGAGGTCCCTTCTGGTATCCACAGCCTTTGTCTAGCACTCATGGAATACTTCGCGGGAGACTGCTGTACTCTTTTAGGGCAGAAGCAAAGACACAATATTTCAGTCACCCCACTGAAAAATGGACGTTGATTACCTGCCCTATATCTGAAAAGAAAGCCAATGGGGAAGGCAGAATGAATGAAAAAAGTCAGCATCTGCCCAGGAGCAGTGGCCCTCATAGTGACCTGGTGTGACCAGTGTAATGCAAGATGGTTGAGCTTTCGAAGCCTGTTTGCCTTGGAAGCCTGGCCTCTTAGCCATGGCCAATTGTCATAGCAGGGCAATTGTCACAGCAGGAAGGATACTTCCAGTACATTCTCTGTGACCCAGGTGCCTATTTCTTAGTGCTGAAGGATGCCACGTTGATATAATTAATATCAATAAAAACTTGGGCAATGACTTTGAACAAGTAGATGAGCCTTTAACAGTGATTTTTCTATTAAACGTATAGATTAAAATAACC